GTCTCCTGGAAATGCCTTGACTGAACATGTAATATTTGTTTGTGTCTCTCTTGGTCTCTCACCTTGGCAGCCCTGCCCTGCAGCCCTGTCCGTGACCCACACCTTCCCGCTAGTGTGTATGCGTTTGCTGGGCCATCTGAGGGCTCTCCCTGTCCCTGACCCGCCCGCACCGTCACTTCTTTCTATGGAGGGCCATGCCCTTGACCAAACGCTTGTTTGCCCTGGGGGAGCAGAGCTGTGGCCGCAGAGCTTGTGCCAGACCTTCTCTCAGCTTTGAGTCTGAGAGCAGCTGTGAATGCATGGGGGCCGGGAAGCCTTGTCTTTCCCGATGGCTCCCAGAGTGTGGCAGGTGGGCCAGAGAAGGGGAAGGCGCCTCGCGAACACGCCATCTGTAAGCCACCTCCAGCCAGTCGCTTCTGGTTCTTCAGAGCTGAGGGTCCCTCCGCTCCGCAGCTCACCTGCTTGCTAGGGGGCCTGGGGTCGTAATTTTTGGATATAGACTGTGCCAAGTGTCTTTTGAGCTTGTGACCTGCGCATGCCCAGAATTCTCACTTTGACCTTATTTCTCTGTGTAAAGTAGGATAGACATGTGTCTGCTGACAGACAAGGCTGCACGCCAGCCTGAGGTGCACATTGGCACCTCAGAAGCCTGGCAGGCGCCCAGGATTTTTACAGCTGTGACATGTCGAGGAACTTCTGCCTACAGTAAAAGCCGTCACCTTTCAGAAAGGTTGTAGGCATCCATCCTGTCATCTGTCGGGAGGGGTGGGAAAAAGGTTTAAAAGCATCTCTGACGGGACAGAGGACTGGAGGGGGTGCTGTTTGGACAACTGGAATAAGGAACCTCAAATGGACGCGCACAAGGAGACGTGCTTTCCTGGGCACTGGGCATGCTGATGACCAGCCTGGTCCCAGGCCACGAGGATGAGGAGGCGGGAGGCAGGCATGGCGAGCCCTCGGGAATGCATTTCTCCTCGCAGAACCCACAGCGGGGCTGTAAGAGGACTGCCGAGCCCCTGCTCTGCTCTGAGACACAGGCCTAAGTGGTATCTCATCTCCTGGGGGGCTGGCGTTCACCCAGCTTCCCTCCTGGCAGCCCAGGGACCCTTTAATGGTTCCAGTGCTCCAGAAATCTCAGATGATTTGTTTCGTAAGGTTTCTGAAAAGTATTTTACCCAAACCCTTTATGAGCCAAGGGGTATTTTTCTTAAAAGCCTCCCCCTGGTAGAGTCTGGCTAATTCAGAGAGAGGTCTGGCCTTTGGCTTGGGGGTGTCACATGACCAGTGACCCATCCTCTCCAGCTTCCCAGTGCTGCCAAGTGGGGAGTGTCTTCCTGCTTCATTCTCCGCCCAGGGCTGTGGCCGCAGGCCATGCAGGTCAGGCCCAGGGAGCAGCCGGCATCCGAATGACAGCGGTGGGCTTGTTGTGGCCTCAGAACCTGCTCTGTACCTTGGCAGTGAGGTGGGCCCAGTCCCTCTAGAATGACTTCGTTCCTGCAGTTGCAGCTGATCTCAGGGGTGTCGGGAGGAAGGGACAGCTGTTGGGGTAGGGCTGAGAGGACACCCACACCCTGCAGCGTGGCCTTCGATCCAGACGTTAGGGACCATGCCCGTCCCCTGTGGGTGCCCTTGATGATTGAGTGTTTGAAGAGTCTGAAATGGTGTGACCTCCTTTTTTCTTTTGGTCAATAAACACATGAAACGATCTGCTGAATCTCAAGACCTTTGGTGTGTTTTCCGGTATGGCCAGCTCCTTGTGTCCACTCACCATTCATGCTTCTCCAAGGGCTCCCTGGAGGTGAACTGCACCTTTCCCAGCAGGGCCGCCCGCCCGCAAAGGCCTGGCTTCTCCTGCTGCCAAACTGCCCGAGGGGGTGTTGGGCCTCCTTCCTCCCACGTTCATTTTCCTGAATCTGACAGGACTCAGTGCTGAGAACCAGAAGGTGGGACAGATGGGCTACCCACAGGGCTGGAAAGAGATGGGGGGGAGGAGTATGAGGTGTTTTTGTGGGTTTTCTTTTCATTTGTTTTTATTTATTTCAGAGAGAAGAAGGGAGAGGGAGAGATAGAAACATCAATGAGAGGGAAACATTGACCAGCTGCCTCCTGCACGCCCCCTACTGGGGGTGGAGCCCGCAACCTTGGTTCATGGGGATGACGCTCAACCAAATGACCACACCGGCCGGGTGAGATGCTTAAGGGAAAAACAGTCCTGGAGACAATAAGTGACGAGGTTGCCCATTTTCTCAGCAAAGTAGAGGGTGAGAAATGTGAGGTGAACACCCAGTAACGAAGTGAAGGACCCCTCACTTTAGGCATCAGGCAGGGTGTGGGATCCTCAAAAGGCCTCGCCCCCCCCCACGCCCACCCCCCACCCCCGCGCGCCCAATAGGGAGACAACTGGACACAAAGGTCAAGAACAAGGCACAAGTTTGTATCAGCCAGGGTCCAATGAGATGGAGACCCCAGTGGCTAACAGGCTGTGGGGAAAGGTGGTGGGGATTACAGGACGCTCCCAGGGCCCAGGAGCAAAGGGGAGAAGTTAGGATTACGGAGAGGAGGCTCAGCGGAGGAGCCCTGTGCGAGAGATGCCGCCAGCTCAGGGCTCAGGAACGCCGGGTCTAACTAGAAAAACAGCGCACTGCTGCTACGCCTGCCCGAGAGGCCGCAGTGCTGTGGTTGCTCAGCTGGTTGGAGCATCATTCCAGGCACCAAAAGGTTGAGGGTTAGGGCACATACCTAGGTTGTGGGTTCGATCCCTGGTTGGGGCAAGTACGGGAGGCAAACCAATCGATGTTTCTCACATGGATGGTTCTGTCTCCCTTTCTCTCTCTAAAATCAATAAACATATCCTCCGGTGAGGATAAAAAAATACATAAATAATAAAGATCCTTTCCTCTCCCCGGCAGGGAGCAGCACAGTGCCAACAGTCATTGTCCCGGGGCCTGAAAGAGTCACACCTATTCCTGAGCAATGTTAATTACTCCTCCGGTGGCTGAGGGGGTGAGAGAACACCCTGTTTGTGATGGGCAGTTCAGGGCCTGTGGTCACTTGAGGTCCATGGTTAGGTTGCAGGAGCTGCATCTCCAAAGGAGAAGAGTTCATCTGCGAGAAGGCGAGGATCTACTCCAAAACCCTGGCGTTCTGCCTGCTGATGCTCCAGGGAGGGCTTGCTGGCGGCTGCAGGCAGCGCCAGCGCCTGGAACAGATCGCTGAGTGTGGCCGGACCTGCTCAGTCACAAAGCCCAGGTGGCAGCCTCCAGCTAAACTTTCAGTAGGAATCACACCACACATTTTCATCAGGAAAGCTTTCCACTGGAGGGAACTGTTACTCCATTAAGCCAGTTTAATTCCTTGATCGGTTTTCTATGCAGTGCAATTAAGTTGTTTCCAAGTTTCTATTTTCTTTTTTTCTTTTTATTGATTTCAGAGAGGAAGGGAGAGGAAGAGAGAGATAGAAACATCGGTGATGAGAGGGAATCATTGATAGGCTGCCTCCTGCAGGTTGGACCAAGCCCACAACCCAGGCATGCGCCCCCGACCAGAATCGACCTCGGGACCCTTTGGTCCGCAGGCTGACACTCTATCCACTGAGCCAAACAAGCTAGGCCCCAAGTTTTCTATTTTCATTTTACTTAAAAATATTTTAATTAAGGCCCAGCCAGTTTGGCTCAGTTATTGAGCATCAACCTATGAACCTATTCCTGGTCAGGGCTCATGCCCAGGTAGCCAGCTCTATCTCCAGTGTGGGGTGTGCAGGAGGCAGACAATCAGATTCTCGTCATTGATGTTTCTATCTCTCTCTCTCCCTTCCTCTCTGAAATCAGAAATACATTTAAAAAAAATGAAAGCGGTAAAACATTTTAAAAAAATTCAAATGACAATTTAAAAAAAAATTTTCATTAAGATTGTTTCCCATGTTGATTTTATGGTGGAACTTTAATGATAGCTTTTGCCCTTGTGAGCTTTCTTTTGAGGCCATTATTTCCTCCAAGTCAAATTTGGCAGCTCAAAATCTAAGTTTCATAACTTCTTGAAGCAAGAAAGTGGCATATTGCAAACGTCTCAGGACATTTGTCCTGTTGGATAGGGAAGAATAAGAAACAAAAAGACTAACAAGAAGCCCTTAGAGTAATGAGGGTCTCTTCAGTTTTGCTCGTCCCTTTTTTCCTCCTGAGGGTCAGGACCAGAGTGGGAAGCAACAATCTTTAGGATCACCCATCAGATAATGTTCGGATCAATCCACTTTAGACCAAGAGGGGGCCTTGAAATGTTATCTCCTACCACCACCCTGTTGATTCATAAGAGAAAAACCATGGTCCAGAGAGATTTAATGAACTGCCCAAGATCCTTCTGCCACTGAGTTGCTGTTTTCCCTCTCGGGTTCATAAGGAGTCCCTTAAGTCCACTGCAAGTGGCCCCAGGTGCATAGCGGCTCTGCCTCCTGGGACGCAGGCTCCGGAAGGAGGAATAGCCTGTCACAGGCAGCCTGCATCAGCGCCGCAGCAGGCCCAGCGGTACACCTTTCCCTGCTGACGTCACAAGCAGGGTGCTGGGGCTGGTCCCACTTGAATTGTGACATCAGGAAGCAAAACTGCAGGCAGTTTTTCAGGGGGTGGGGTGGGGGGGCGGCAACTTGATAGGGAGACTGCAAAACACAGCCGAAGGGAAAGGTGAGATGGTGCTTATCAGACCCAGAGAGTTTAAAGGGTGGGAACCCACTAGACCAGTGGTTCTCAACCTTCCTAATGCCGCAACCCTTTAATACAGTTCCTCATGTTGTGGTGACCCCCAACCATAAAATTATTTTCGTTGCTACTTCATAACTGTAATTTTGCTACTGTTATGAATCGTCATGTAAATATCTGATATGAAGGATGTATTTTCATTGTTACAAATTGAACATAATGAAAGCATAGTGATTAATCACAAAAACAATATGTAATTATATATGTGTTTTCCAATGGTCTTAGGTGACCCCTGTGAAAGGGTCGTTCGAACCCCAAAGGGGTCGCGACCCACAGGTTGAGAACCGCTGCACTAGACTGATGGGGACCCTCCCAGCAGCTGGTGAAATGGGACCAGGGGCAAGGGCCCTGCACCTGAGTGCCCACGGGTTCTCTTCCCTCCCGACAGGGCCGCCACGCCTCTGGCCTTCCCTGACATGCAGAGAGTTTCACGTAAGTACCTGTGCTTCCTACCTGCCTGCCGATGGGCCAAGGAAGTGGTTCCTTTCCCGTCACGTGCCTGCTGTCTGCCATCCACCCTCTTGTCCAGGACCTGTCCCAGGAATTGGGGCTGGGACAAGGAGAACACCATCCCCAACTTCTGTCCCCGCTTCGGGCTGACTGATGGCACAGTCCCTGTCCCCCAGGGGCAGACAGCTGCTTCTCAGAGGAGTGTCGTACCCCTGTCAGGCCCCCTCGGCTCCTGCCTAGGCGTCCACATGGCTTTGCTCCGTCCATCTCCCTAGAGCCCGTCCAGGACCGGGTCCCAGCGGCGCAGCCCCCGGCCCAGCCCTCCAGACCTCCGCCAGGCCAGCGCCCGCTGAGGAACAGCGGCAGCCTCTGCAAGTTTGAGGACCAAGTCCTCTGTCCCATTTGCCTGGAGGTGTTCCGCAGCCCCGTCACCACCGCCTGCGGCCACAACTTCTGCATGACCTGCCTCCAGGGGTTCTGGGACCACCAGGCGGCCGAGGGCGAGACGCTCTACTGCCCCCAGTGCCGAGAGAGCTTCGCCTCCAGGCCGCGCCTCTGCAAGAACGTCACCCTGGAGGAGATGGTGACCTGCTTCACCCAGGCCAAGAGCCCGGCCTCGGCGTCCTCCTGGAAGCTGGCCGGGCCCCGGGACGTGCCCTGCGACTTCTGCGGCCCCCAGAAGCGCCGGGCCATCAAATCGTGCCTGCAGTGCATGGCCTCCCTGTGCGAGAACCACCTGCGCAGCCACGCGGAGGACCAGGTGTTCCGGGACCACCAGCTCCTGGAGCCCCTGTGGGACTTCAAGAGCTGCCTGTGCCGCAAGCACCGCAAGCTGCGGGGGCTGTACTGCCGCACGGAAGGCTGCTGCGTGTGCGGGACCTGCCTGCTGGAGGAGCACAGGAACCACGACACCATCCCCCTGCAGGAGGAGCGCGCCCGCAGGGAGGTGAGGCTGGGGTGGCGCTGGAGCGGGGCGGGAGCCAGGGGCCTGGGGTTCTGAGTCTTTCGCTGAAGATGAAAGTCTTTCGCAAGCCCCTCCCCTCATCCCCCGCACCCCAGCCACCTCCACACACCTTTCCTTGGAGGACAATTCTGCAGTCGTCAGAGTGATGGCCAAGAGGGTCAGGCCGTGACAGGAAACAGTGCCGGCCCGTCAGGTGAATAAGGATCCAACATGGTCTGGATGAATCCTATGATCAGTGGGTTTGGGGGGTTTTTTTTGCTCAGAACGAAAGGAAAGGCTGAAAGAACAGATAAAACTACAAACATGACGTCCTTCTATGTGAGGACATTCCATCACGCACATCCTAGAACAGCGCTATTCCAACAGCCACCGTTCGCGGTCCGTGGCAAGGAGCTCGGCCGGAGCGCCAGCCAATGCCTCACTGTTGTGTGATGAGCTGACACCCTCTCCCTGCCAAGCCCTTCTCGGCGAGAGAGCAGTGCGTTGGTTTACCGTCTGGCACGAGCTTCTCATTTTGCTGCGGGTCAGCAGTTCCTGGACAGGCACTTGGAAGAGCGCGGTTCTGTCTGTAATACATCGTGAGACAGGGACACGCCCGTTGCCGGGCAGGGGAGACTAAAGGCATATGTAGAAGAACTGGCCTGGCAGTGCTGCCCCCGGGAGCCCAGGGCTCCCTACCTGATGTGCCCTTTTTCAACCCACTGCCTCCCAGGCCTCTCAAGCCACTGACCCCTCCACAACCCCTTCTTGTGACCTGAAACCCGAAGGTCATTCCTGTCAGGGGCAGAGAACCTGACTCCTAAAAACAGGGAGAGACCTAGAGCAGGGGGGTGGGCCCTCGGCCGGCACCCCTTTCAGCTCTGCTCTTTCTCATCCTCATCCTCATCTCCTTGAAACCTCTTTGGAATGTGAGAGGAATGAATATCTCTTCTGGGCTTGAACATGGGGCTGCTTGCAGAAGGCTTCTTCTGGGCACCCCTCCATCAGGGGCCCTCTCCTCCACTCACCCTCTCACCCAGGTGGAGTTGCGGCAGGTCCAGGCCAACGTGGAGAACCAGATGCTGATGATCACCTCCGACAGCCAGAAGCACCGCGAGCAGGTGGCCTTTCTGCTGGTAAGGGAGCCCACCCGCCCCAGGCCCAGGCCGAGGGGACTCAGAGGGCTTGGAGGGGATGGGGTGGGGCCAGGCGGACAGACAGGGTGCCTAGGTGGGCTGGGGACCATGACAAGGCAGGGATCAGGGTGGAGCTCAGAGATGCCTCGCTATGCACCCTCCCACCTCCACCTCCAGAAAATGATCCAGACAATGCGAGATGAGGTGCACTCCTGCTTCTCGGGGATCATCCAGGAAGTCAAACAGCTGCAGACGAAGGTCTTGGATTTTGTGGAGAAAGAGGAGGCCGCCGCCCTGGAGAAGCTGGGCAGCTCCATCCAGCAGAGCCACAACTGGCTCCTGAAGCTGGAGGCGGACAGCATCTGGCTGCGCACCCTGCTCACCAACCCAAGTGACCAGCAGTTTCTGCAGGCAAGACCCCACCCCACCTCCGCGCCTGGCCCTGCCACAACCTCCACTCCTCCACCCACAGACACACCCTCAGCGTTTGGGGCGCATCACTGGTCCACCCCCTGCCTCCCAGGCCATCTGTCCTGAGCTTTCACCCACCCCCCTGGGTTCCTCCACCTCAGCACCCAGCCTGGCCCTAACGCTCCTGCCTTCATTTCCCTGGAACAGATGGGATATACCCTAGGGTTCTGGGCATCTGACTGGCTAAGTTTCTCCACACGCCCCCAGGCAGGGCTGGAAGTGAGACAGAACAATCTATGGAGCCCGGATTGAAATCCCATTTTTTTTTTTTAATATATTTTATTGATTTTTTACAGAAAGGAAGGGAGAGAGATAGTTAGAAACATCAATGAGAGAGAAACATTGATCAGCCGCCTCCTGCACATCTCCTACTGGGGATGTACCTGCAACCCAGGCACATGCCCCTGACCGGAATCGAACCCGGGACCCTCCAGTCCGCAGGCCAACGCTCTATCCACTGAGCCAAACCGGTTTTGGCGAAATCCCATTTCTTTCCCCGGCCCTGGCCTGGCGCCACAGCCTGGTTGGGTGCTGCTGCAGGCGGGTACCAGGAAGGGTAGCTGGTGGGGTCAGGTGAAGGCTGTGGGGCAGCCTTCTCTCTGGGCGGGGCCGGGGGCTGCCCCAACCCTGTGCTTGGAACTCCTAGCACAACTCCCCTTCCTTCAGCGGCCATCGCACCCCCGAGCAGACTTCGAGGGCTGTTCCTCCCCTGTCCCCCCCCTTCCCCCCCGACCAGGAAGTGTTGGCAAGGTTTTTCACTAAGCAATTAGAGGCTGGAAGAAGTCCTGCCAGCACTGTTTTCTAAAAATCACTCTGTGTAATGCACTAGGCCAGGCCTTTGGCAAAGCCCTAAGCTACGATGTCCAAACGCCAGCAGTTTCTCCACCTGCCCCACACTCTGGGCACCACCAAGCCCCTGCATAGGCAGGGACACCTGGCATCTGCTGGGGCCCTGGTGAAAGGTAGTACCACCCTCGCCGCCCCTCCCCGCACGCAGGAGTTCCCCAGGCTAAAGAACTTCCAAGACTGCATGGAACCCCTAATGGGCACCAGCTGGGAGGAGAAGCAGAGCTTCCTGCAGCTGCCCCAGACCCTGGCGGAGCTCCGGAGCCGGCTGGTGGGCATGGGGCTCAGCTTCATCAACCAGCTCCTCCTGCAGGGTCAGTACCTGCGGCCTGGGCCACTGGACGCTCCCTGTCATTCTGGGGCAGGGACAGCCCGGCAGGGCAGTGGCTGGGGTGGTTTCCGGGCATCGTAGAGGGCCCTGCCGGCCCGTGTGCACCTTCCCCAGGTGACACCTCCTCCTGGGAGCCCACGCCTCTCTGCGGAAGGATGCTGGGCTGGGCGTGTCCTCAGCAGAGCCCTCCATCTCCACAGGCATTAAAATGAACTCCTACGAGGTGCTGCCCCCCACTGTGGACAGGAAGGCACTTCTCAAGTGTGAGTCCTCAGTCTTGGGGTCCCACTGCAGGGGGGGAGGAAGGGAGCAGGGCCCCTAGGTGCCTCGACTTCCCCAGCTCCACCTCCACTCGGGCCAGGGCTCCAGAGAGATGCCAGCTCTCTCTTGCCTGGGCCTGGAGGCCTCAGAGGGACTGGCCTGTGACTCCGAGGCCCTGATAGGAAAGAAAAGACTGCCCTGTCCTACCCCACGGGTGGGCAAGGCCTCACCTACTGCCCAGAGGCCCTTTAGCCTTCCCTGGCCCCGGTGTCGCACCACCCTGTCCTCCGCTGGGTGCCTGACCACCTCCCTGGGCTTTAGCCAAGCCAGTTGGCAGACCCTGTCCATTTCCGCCTCCGTCTCCCTTTCCGCTTGACGTTCCCACAGCCCTCCCGCGCCCAGGCTGGGCTGGGGGCCGAGGCCCAAGGACTTCCCTGCGACCTCCAGGGTCAGGGATGCACTGCCCTTGGTGACCCCTCCCTCTGCGTGACCTCCTCCGGGAGCCCTTGACTCCCCCTCAGTTCCCCTCTATCTTGCATCCTGAATGAATGAAAGGGAGATTGTGTGAGGGTCTGTGAGGGCACGGAGGGCGCCTCAGCGCTCAACATTTCTAGAAAGGTGGGCCTTGCGCCCTGGCCAGTGCGGGCTCAGTTGGGTGGGCGTCATCCAGTGCACCAGGAGGTTGATAGCCAAGGGCACATGGCCAGGTTGCAGGCTTGATCCCCAGCTGGTGGGGAGCATGCAAGAGACCAATGAATGAATGCACTCTCTCATTGATGTTTCTCTCTCTCTCCCTCTCCCTTCCTCTTTCTCTAAATATCAATAAACTATTGTTTTAAAAATAAAAATTACATATATATATATATATATATATACATACTAGGGGCCCGGTGCACGAAATTTGTGCGCTGGGTGTGTGTGTGGGGTGGGGAGAGTGTCCCTCAGCCCAGCCTGCCCCCTCTCACATACTGGGAGCCCTCAGACATTGACCCCCATCACCCTCCGATCGCCTGATCGGCCCCTTGCCCAGGCCTGAGGCCTCTGGCAGAGGTGTCAGGCTTGGACAGGGGACCCCCATCTCCCCCCGATCACTGGCTCTGGCCCCTGCCCAGGCCTGAGGCCTCTGGCCCAGGAATCATGCCTGGGCAGGGGACCCCCATCTCCCTCTGATCGCTTGCTCCACCCCCCGCCCAAGCCTGATGCCTCTGACCCATCATATCCCCCCAATCCCCGGCTCCGCCCCCCACCCAGGCCGGATGCCTCGGCCAGAGGAGTTGACCCTCATCACCCTCCGATCACCAATCACCGGATCGGCCCCTTGACCAGGCCTGAGGCCTCTGGCAGAGGTGTCAGGCCTGGGCAGGGGACCCCCAGCTCCCCGCGGTTGCAGGTTCCGCCCCTGCCCAGGCCTAACGCCTCTGGCCTAGGCGTCTGGCCCGGGCAGCAGGGACCTGCAGTGGCAGCAGGGGGCACCGCGATCGTGGGCTTCGCTTTAGGCCCAGGCAAGGGACCCCTAGCTCCTGGGACTGCCAGCTTCGACCGTGCCCAGCTCCCATCCCTGGCTCCACCCCTACTTCCTGCTATCACTGGCCAGGGCAGCAAAGGCGCCTGATTCTCCGATCATGGCTGGGGGGCAGGGCAAAGGCGGCCCCAGGGCTGCCTTTGCCCTGCCCCCCAGCTCTTAGCTCCCCCCTGGGTTTCAGATCACTGTCAGTGGCAGGGGGCTTCTTCCTGCTTTCCCTTTCGCCTCCCTGCATTGTGCCTACGTATGCAAATTAGCCGCCATCTTGTTGGCAGTTAACTGCCAATCTTAGTTGGCAGTTAATTTGCATATAGCCCTGATTAGCCAATGAAAACGGTATCGCCGTACGCCAATTACCATTTTTCTCTTTTATTAGTGGAGAGAGAGAGAGAGAGAGAGAGAGAGAGAGAGAGAGAGAAACGGTGGGCCTTGGGACAACACCCATCTCATCCTCTAAACCAGCGGTTCTCAGCCTGGGCTGCACATTAGAACCACCTGGGAATCTTTTTAAAATCCTGATTTCTGGGCCTCATTCTCCGGGAATTCTGTTTCTTTGTTACTAATGTTGTGGCCCCACCCCATCACAAAGAAACAGAATTTCCGGAGGACGGGGCCCAGAAATCAGGATTTTAAAAAGATCCCCAGGTGATTCTAATGCGCAGCCCAGGCTGAGAACCGCTGCTCTAAACCGTTGGGGCACATCCCCACCACCACCAGTTGGGGACTTCAGCGGGGGTGTGGGGGGGCGGGGGGGCACAGCTAGGAGCTGGGGGAAGCTCTGGCGTCCTCGGCCGGTGCCCTGGGACCCTGAGCGGCTCCTGTCCGCCCCCTCCCCGCCCCCAGGCTACTGCAACCTGAAATTCGACCCCGCCTGGGCCAGCGAGGAGCTCTTCCTGTTCAAGGAGACGCACTCGGTGCTGAACCTGGGCGTCCTCCTGGAGCCCTTCCCCGCCGGCGGCCCGCTGCCCGGCTTCAAGCAGTGGCCGCAGGTGCTGTGCTCGCGCGGCCTGGCCGAGGGCCGCCACTACTGGGAGGCCGACGTGTCCAACTCGTGGGTGTGCCTGGGCGTCACCTACCGCCGCAGCCCCCCGCCCGGCGGCCGCCCGCGCGGCAGCATCGTCTACCTGCTGGGCCGCAACCCCGACTCGTGGTGCCTGGAGTGGGACTCGCTGCGCTTCTCCGTGTGGCACAACAACACGCAGACGGTGCTGCAGGGCGGCTACCACCGCACGCTCGGCGTGGCGCTCGACTGCGGCGCCGGCTGCCTGTCCTTCTACGGCGTGGCGGGCGGGGTCAGCCTCCTCTACCGCTTCCTCGCCTCCTTCCTGGAGCCGCTCTACCCCGCGGTCATGGTCAGCAGCGGCGCCTTGGTCACGCTCAAGCAGGTGTAGGTGGGGGGGAAATAAAGCTGGACTCCAGCGCTGGCTGGCCCCGCGGGGTCCTCTGGCTCGGGGGTGAGGGTGGGCAGCGAACCTGTCACCCAGCAGAGGTGAGTAGTAGTGACAGAGACCGACTGGCTTGCAAAACCTAACAGCTACCGTTTGGCCCTTTAGGGACAAAGTGTGCCAACTCCTGCTTGAAATCAATATAAACACACAATACCGGGAAGGACCAAGAAGAGGGGTAGATGTGCCAGGAGGAGGAAGAACTGGAGAACCAGCCTTGTGGGGAAATCAGGGCAGGCTTCCTGGAGGAAGTGATATTTGAGCTGCTATCCGAGATGACGGGTTATCCGGGGAAACAGGGCCTGGGAATCCCAGAAAACAGGCAGACCCATATGTCCCCAGAGCCACAGGAGAAGGGCTCTGAACCAGGCTGGACTGTCCCTGGGACTCAGGCCTTGGTTCTCCAGGCTGGTCCTGGCCACTCGCACCAGGTACCTGTCCCTAAAGGCCTTGTGGCCTGAGAGTGGGTGGGGCTTGGGCCCGGTGGCCAGACTGAGAGGTGGCACCTTACATTGGGGGAGGGGGGAGTTCTGTCTGGGTTACTGGCTTCATTGCAGACTAGAGGCCAGGCTGGACCCCGGCCGGGCCACGGCCCTGCGACCCTGGCAGGAGCGGGACTGGGGACTCGGCCCCTCTGCAGAAGCCGCCTCTGCATTTCCAGCCTCAACCAGCCGCTTGTTCCCATGGCCTCTCAAGTGGGGGCTCTCGGGGGTTAATGATTGGCTCTGAAGAGGACATGAGGCAAGTCACAGGAGGAACTCCTTCGGGCCACGGGGCTGTGCCTGAACTCCACCCCCGGGCCTGTTCTCTGTTCTCGGGGAAGTGAGTGACCCCCACTTCTCGGTAGGAGCCGGCTGGAGCAGGCTGCGGGGCCTACCCTGTGGTCTGGCAGGGGTGGGCGCCCTTTGGCTCCTCTGAGCAACCTTGGCTGGGCTCTCAAGCTGACCCTCCTCCCTGCACCAGTTCCAATCACTTTCCCCAGGGGCCGCTACCTGGTGATGGGTAGGAATGAAATCTAAACCTTCCCCGATATTCAGGAAAACCTTTCACACCAAAATGCCTAAATCTCGCCTCTCCACCCCCAAATCTTCCCGGCCCCTGCTTCAAGGAGCTGCAGGCCTCTGCATCATGGGGTGGAGGCAGTGAATGCTGAGAGGGTGAATGTGTGGGCCCAGGGGATAGGGCCTGCTCTTGCTGGCTGCATGGTCTCAGAGTCCTTCCCAAGGACAGGGCCGTACCCTCACCTTCTGGCTCTGAGGGACGTGTCGTCCCAGGATGGGGTGGGGTGTGATGCTGGCACCATGACACCCTGGGACACGGGCTGAAACCACATCCGGTGTAAGAGGGATGTCGTTGCCTTTCTCATTTGGAGCTCCTCGGCCCATAGGCGTCCACAGTGATAGAGATCATTTTGAAATAATTCCTAGTATTTCAAAAAGCCGAATGGGAAGCAGGCGAGGCTGGCCAGCAAGGCAAAAGGCCAGCGTCCTTTGCTCATGACTCAGCATGTCTCATGGGGGCCCATATAGAGGGGCTCCTTCGGGTGCAAGATCAGCCAGTAGCCTTGGATAATCCACACCAGGGAACCTTATCCCTCCCCTTCCCCTGCTGTGGGGAGACCAGGGAGAGGCCTGACCCTGGAACGCCCCCCACACTTCTGCCTTCCTGCTCCTGCCTTGGCTTGCAAAGACTATTTTGTTTAATGTGAATCCAAACAGGCTGTAAACTAATCTGTCTCCAAGGGTTATTTCACTAAACAATGTTCCGTGTTATACTTACAAAAGGATTGGGTAATGTTTTGCATTTCCTTTTTTTATTTTTAGTTTATTTTTATTGATTTTTTTTTAAGAGAGAAAAACATCATTTGGTTGTCTCCGGCATGAGCCCCAACCAGGGATTGAACCCCAAATCTGGGTCTGTGCCCTGACTGGGAATTAAACCCGCCACCTTTGGTGTACGGGACAACGCTCCCACCAACTGAGCCACACTGGCCAAGGCTGTGTTTTTGCATTTTTCTCTAACAGTAATTTTAATGCACATTTTACAAAATCAAATGAATGCAAATGTCACGATGGACAAACATTTGTTTATTTATAACAAAATTATAAATAAAGGTCAGACCGGACTGGGCACTTGGACCAACTGCCCCAGACCCCTTGCTCTGACAATGGCCCTGATTCCAACAGAATGTCATTGACAAACAGGTGGCCGGTCCACTGGCCATGGTTTGTTGATCTCATTTCTTTAAAGGTTGCGTTGTGTCTCTTGATTACTGAGTGTTGTTGGCCTCTCTGTAAATTTTGAGTCCCAGCCAGTCGGCATGGGTCAGTGGTTGACCATCGCCATATGAACCGGTTCAATTCCCAGTCAGGGCACATGCCCAGGTTGCGGGCTCAATCCCCAGTGTGGGGTGTGCAGGAGGCGGCCGATCAGTGGTTCTCTCTCATCATTGATGTTTCCATCTCTCTCGCCCTCTCCCTTCCTCTCTGAAATCAATAAGAACATTTTTACAAAAAAAAATGTTGAGCCCCAGGCAGTTGCCCAGTTGCCTCACTCGCCTCCTCGCTGAGGGTGTCACAGGTCTGGGGGGCACTGGTGGGATTTAGTAGCTGGGCTGGGGGAGGGGCCAGGGACCCCAAATGTCCTGCAAAGCTCAGAGCAGCCGTGCCGCAGATGTCCCTGCGGTCAGTGTGGACACGCACACCCACACTTGAAGCGAAACGTGAGTAACATCCCTCGGGCCGCTCCCCTTTGCCAAAACAAGCCACAAAGCACCGGAAGCCCAAGGGCACCCATTTAGAGGCTGTGGCTCCTCGCCACGTGCTCCTAGACGCTGAACCTTCCTCCCTGACCAGATCCGGCCGGCCTGGAGGACGCGTGTTCTTGCTGCTTTTGTATTTCACGCACATTGGAGAGGGCGGGATGGTTGGATTTCTGCTCAGCTTGCTCCGATGGCCCACAGGGCTCCCCATGGAGGCTGCGGTGAGAAGCAAGACAGTAGCTTGGTGGGTGAGGGAACACTTCCAGCCACGCACTGAGATAAAGCCCATTCAGGGAAGAGATGACAAAGGACCCATCCCACACCAGACATGGATCGGGGCAGAGCAGATGGTGGGCGATGAGAGCCCGGGAGGAATGGGACCTGATTCTGGAGGCCCTCAGGGGGTGGCTGACCCAGTGTGTTTTAAGACAGCGGGAGGGCACGAGGGCGGCTGGAGTGGGGAGGACCACGTGTGACCTGGGAGCCAGGGTCAGCCGGAGTGAGAGGGAGGCGCTGGAGGTGAGGCGAAGGCACGAGGCGGGAGGTGAGGGCGTGAACGCACGTGGGGTGGTGGCGGGTGGGGAGATGAGTCCTATGCGTGGGCTGTCGGGCACATGGGCTGAAGGAACAGGGAAGTGGGAAGTGGGTGTGCAGACCAGAGCCCCGCCCAGGCACAAGCAGCCCCTGAAAAGCAGAAGCTTTTGGAGGATGAGTCTGGCGGTCCCGGCAGGAGGCTGAGCAGAGAGATCCTATCGGGCTCAGCGTCCAGGCCACGTGGGCCCAAAGCGGCCCAGCATCAGGAAGAGATAAGACAGGAGCACGGGGAAGAGTGGGCGATAAGCTGGAGAGGAAGATGAGGCCCTTGACTGAGTCAAAGAGTGGAGGTGGGGCCTGGTCCGAAGAGGGTGAGGGTGAGGGTGAGGGGGGTGTGGGGACAGTGAGTCGGGGAAAATCTCAAGGAGATGGGCCTGGAGCTCCAGAGGGAGAGAGTGGGCCGGGGAGAGAGCCCAGGTAAGAGAGCTGAGAAGGAGAAGGCAGGAGAAGGAAGAGGGGAGCCCCAAAGCCATGAGAGCAGCACCCCAACAGCCTCTTCCTAGGCTAGGACAGGGCAAGGGGCCCTTGGAGTGAGGGCTGTGCCCAGGCTGTAGTTCCAGGAGTGTCCATTTGCCTGGATTTATGATCATTGCCCCTTCCCACACCCCTGAGATGGGGCAGGGCTCAGCACAGGGCAACCCCAAATCAGGGGGCAGGAGGTCACCCTATGGTTTCCCATATCCTGCTCCCCAGCATGAGGTAACCTGCTGCCCCTGACTGGGACAGATCAGGACATCTCTGTCCACGCCCTCCAGGAGGTGGGGGCTGGAGTGGAATGGGGGTGCAGGGAGTGTGTCCCTCAACATCACAACCAGCATCTATGACCAGTCTTGGGACAGATTGCCCACCAGATCTGAGTTCGGGGGACCTTGGGGGGAATAACCAGCTGGTGGCACAGCCTCGGCCTCTGGGCCAACTGACAAGCTTCCACCCGCCTGGGCAAATGGGCAGAGGGGTGACATGGAGGAAGAACAGCGAAGGAGAAAAGCGCCGTGAAGGGGAAGGCGCGGAGGGCCCAGCCGCCCCAGCATCCCCGAGAGCAGGAACAGACCTTGTCGCCATTGTGCCAGCAGAGGGCACTCTGGCTATGCCAGGGACGCAGAGGCTCACAGCACAGGCCAAGAGCTGGAGAGAGAGGCAGAGGGACCAGGAGCCCATCCCGCAGCTTTAGCGACTTGGGTGGGCGATATCTATTCCTTCATTCAGCCAATGAGCCAGAACCCGGACAGCTCCATACATGCCGACCCTCATTATGACAGTTGTTATCAGCCTGTGCCAGGCACCGTGCTAAGTGCTGGGGAAACAGGTCCACGGGGCGAGGAAGCTCCTAAGCCTTGGGGAGCTTGGTGGGGAGACACGCAGCACCCAGCAGGATGAGTGCTCCACTGGGAGGTCTGGGAAAGCTGCCGCCTGCAGGCCGGCCAGGAGCCAACCAGGTAGATGAGCATCCTGGGCACAGGGTGTTCCGGGAAGAGAGCACAGCCATCAGCACACAAAGACCAAAGCCGGCAGGGGGCTCTGCAGAACAGCAAGAGAATGAGGTGCTGGTTGTTATCACTGATGTATGGCAGTGGCAGGAGGCAGCTAACCACAAGTGATTATTGATTTCTGATTTTGAGCAAGAGCCTCCCCCTCTCTTCGAGGAGGTAGCCCAGTTCCCCTTTCTATAGGATGACGACCCCTTCCACTCTGGTCACACTAACAAAACTGGGGGCTAGGCTGTGTGCTGAGACCCCCTCTTAGGGGACGGAGTCACAGAGGAAGGCTGTGGGGACTGCCTGTGGGAGCCGGAGGCCCTGGCTCAAGGGTCACCAGCATTTCAGGCTCCTTGTCCACACCTCTCTGCTAGAGAAGACAGTAGGCGGCTTCCCACAATTTCTCTCTCTCTTGCAGGTGGAAATCTCAGGGGAGGGCTCAGGAGAGGGTCTTCATAGAATATCCATCAGCTTTCCAGCTGTGCTCTTTTAGGGTCATGGTCTCCACTGATAGGTCGGTGCCAGGGCAGGGGGAGTCCTGAGTCAATGCAGCTGGTCCTGAGCAGCCACAGGGTCCCTGGTCTGGTTCTGCTGCTCTTCTGGGCCTGGAACTGAAATACCTCTGAGGCCTAGAGGTGATCTTTAGGGAGGAAAAGTCAGGGAGTCTAAACCACATGACCAGCGAGATGCTAGGGCAGGAAAGGTCACACTGGGGGCGAGGTCCTTGCTTTCCCAGGTTTGCCCCTGGCTAGGCACCGGGCTTTCCTCCCTGGTGACCTTCGGTTCCTGCTCCATCGTCCTTGCTCTGCTCAGGGCTGTCTAACTGCCCACAACACTCCCAATGTTTATATCCAGACACCTTCACGTTAAACTGAATACCCTCCCGTGTCAGAGCCAGCCCCGGCACTGAGACAGTTGGCAAAAAAAACCCCACAGGCACAGCGATGACATGTCTAAGACGCACCTTCCAACTCGACACAAGTATCGCCTCTGTGACACACCCAGACGTGAGGCCATCTTCCTGGGTGGCAAATGGTATCTCCTTGTGGGTTTGATTTGCATTTCCCCGATGAATAAGGGTGTTGAGTATCTTCTCATGTGCTTGTTGGCCAATTGCACATCTGCTTTGGAGAAATAGCTACTCAGATCCTTGGCCCACTTTTTACTGGGCTTGTCTTTTCATTGCTGAGTTGGAAGCGTTCTCAGGACAAGCCCCTTATCAGATGCAAATCGTTGCTCCTGTCCTGAGAGTTACGCTTCCCTGGTGGTGTCCTTTGGTCAATTTCTGTGTTTGTTTCTTGGTCACTTGTGCTTGTGGCGTCACATCTAGGAATCCATCGCCTCATTTACGGTTATGAAGATTTGCTCCCATGTTTTCTTCTAAGAGCTTTATAGCTTGAGGCCTCACATCTCCATCTATGATTCTTTTTATGTTTTTCTTCACATGGTGCGGTGTCGAAGCCCAGCCTCATTCTTTCCCATGAGGATACCCGATTGTTCTGGAACCATGTGCTGAAAAGACTCCTCTCCCCACATTGGACCTCAGCACTGGTGTGGAAAATCAACTCTATTCCATCGGTCCCACTGTGCCCGTCCTGATGCTGGTACTACACTGTCTCAATCACTGTAACTTGGTAGCAGTCACATGCTAGACAATGCATATCGAGGGCTGGCTAGCGGGGGGCGAGGACAGAGGGGCCTGGCATCGGAAGGACCCCTGGGCAGCTAAAACCCTCAGAGAAGGGGTCCCCCATCCTGGTTTCCCTTCCCCTTCCCGCTGGGAGATGGAGTCTCCTCATCACCGGCTTTCTCCCTCCCTCTCCTGGGGTCCTGAAGAGTGAGCATATGGTCTATGCAAATTACATGCTAACGACATACAAATGAACCCCGCCCAGCCGGCGTCCGCCTGGGCTGCTGGACGGTCCACGCCACTCGGAGGAGGGGACCGGGCTGAGATTAGGGGTGCCGGCCTGGCCACGCCCCGCCGCGCCCTCCCACCTACAGGCAAGACCTCCTCCCCCACCCCCCACCCCCGCGGCTCCGAGGTGGTCCCACCCCCCGCGCCCTGCGCCCGCCTCCCCGGGGCCGCCCGCCCGGCGCCCTGCCACCCCCGCCCCGGGAGGCCGGGCCGCAGGAAGCCGTGCGGCGGGAGTGGAGCTGCCGGTAGCTGGGCCCGTGCGAGCCGGTAAGCGGGCTCCCTCCCCTCCCCGCGGCTCCAGGCGCCCTTCCGCCGGGGTCCCCGTCTGCGCGCGGCTGACCCGCCCGCCCTGGGCCTCCCCAGCCCCTTCCCGCCTGTCAGGGGCGAGGATCCGGAAAAGCCTTTTTGCCCCGGGTCCTGGGCTTGCCCCAGCCCCCGATGGCTGGGGACCCGCACCCCCGAGGGGTCTCCCCAAAGCGACTGCTTGCCCCCCACGACCTGGGGAGTGAGGGGACGGACACCCCCCCAAGCCCTGGCCTGAAATATGCACACTGGCGCCTCCTGGACGTCCCCAAGCCCCACCCCAAGCAGCTCTGTCCAGCGGAGGGTGGGAAGCAGGGTGGGAAGCGGAGGGGAAACAGGATCCCTGATGGCAGACGGGGCCCAGGATGGCAAGAGGTCACGAATTTCGGTTGCCAACCACCCCCCTTGCAGGCTGTGGCCAGCCGGCGCCTGTGGGACATGTGGGCCACGTTTGGGGCAGAGAAGGGCGAGGGTGACTTGCCCCAGCTCACCCACCTCTGGAACTGCCTCCTTCCTTCGGGGGGGCCCCTGCCAGGTGCAGGGGTTTGAGGGTTCAAGCTGGCTCTTGCAGTTCTCGGGCCCAGGGGGAGCCCTCCGGCGGCCTGTCCCATGCCCTGTGCCCTGTGCCCTGTGCCCTGTATCCTGACATGTGTGTGTTCTGGTGAGGGAGGGGGTCTCCAGGATCTGCCTCGGCTGCCCCTCCTCTCTCTGCTCTGGGGCTTGTGACCCCCTTTTCCCCTCACCATGAGAAGAGAGGGAGAGGAAGAGAGGAGGAGGCCCCTCCACTCTGCACACCAGCCCAGTAAGCCCACAACCCCTGCATGAGCGCATCGCTCGCCCTTCCCACCATACCTGCAAACCTGGAAGGCAGGGAGAGGATGCTGAGGGCCTAGCCGGGCCTCTGTCATCCAATGGGGAGCCCTAGAAACAGCCTGGGGGTTGGGAGGATAATAAATGTCATCTTGGCATTGTCACTTGGGCATGAAGATGGTCTCGGGGGTCGGGGGAGTCCCTGAACGCTCGGGGCAGCTCCCCTGGAAGGCGGCTCACCTCCAGTCCCAGGAAGTGAGAGTGAGGTCTCTAGCCGCATCTCCCTTCTTGCCCCAACCACACACCAGGCGGTGATGGTGACTCATGGTTCCCAGTACAAAGGAGAGACCACTTCCCCGCTGGGGCAGAGGCGACGCCAGCGCCCCCAGCCCCATCGTGTCTCTGCACCACTTGCGTCTTCTGGAATGGACCTGCCGGCCCGGGAGCCCGGTCAGCCTTGGTCCCCGGCTCGCCTGTCTTCTGGGGAGCACAGGTGGGTCACATCAATAGTGTTTTGGGGCTCTGCCGGAGGCTGGATGGGAGCTCAGGAAAAGATCCTTGCTCCTAGTGTGGAAGATGGGGGTAGGGGCAGGGGGACAGGTAAAGCATTGAACCACTCGGATGTGGTATGAAAACCACTGCTAAGGGGAGAAAACAGGAAGGGAGGGGGTCTGGCCCAACTGGGGTGGGGGTCAGGGTAGCTTCCTAAGGTGGAATCTTGAAGGACCAATCGGACTTCTCTCTGGCTTAAGATTTGGAGGAGCCACCACTGTAGCCAAGTGGGGGGGGGGGGGGCGGCGGGAGGGACAGCTTGCTTGGGGAGGGGGCTGAAGGACCAATGGGACATAAAAGCCTGGGAGTTGCTGAGGTGTGAGGGGATGGCTCGCTCTTCTCACGGAAGACTGGGTCTGTAGGGGAGCTCCCGGAGGGACGCCAGGGGTCCCCAGGCTGGGAGGCAGCAAGTTAAGGGAGGGCAAGGGTGCTGAGTGGTTTCCTAGGCTCTGATGGTCTCCAGGGAGGAGAAGCGGTGACGAGCCAGCTCCCCCAGAAGTTTGTGGAGGGAAGGTGGGTGCAGAGTGAAGGGCCCCACTAGAGAAGTGCTGCTGAGAAGGGCACTAAGGAGACCTCTCCATGGAGGGGCAGGACAAGGATGAACAAGAAGGGACCGTGTCTCTTCTCCCCTCCCTGCCACCTCTTGTCCGTGACTGTGCTGCTCTGAAGGGAAACGCAGGGCCCTGGAGCTTGGGGGTGCCGGGCCGTGGGGCAGCAGCGGAGGGAAGAGCAGGAGGAAGTGGGGACGCAGGGGAAAGCTGAGGGGCCGGGATATGTCAGGGAGGAGGGGCGAGCTACGGACACGGGTGCGGATACTTGACATTCAGGTCACCGTGGAGGGGGTCAGGTGGCGCTGGTGGCCTTTCCATTTGCTGAGGGAACAGAAATCCTGGAAGGGGCCCGAGCCAGCGAGGAGGAGTTGAATCTGAGGTTTGCCCGAGGATCGGGGCCGAGGGGATCTTTAGGGCCAGCGTCCCAGGCAGGAGCCAGGAGGGCAGGAGGTGCCCTTGGCCCATACGCACAAGGGCTCACCGTCACACACACGCTCACACGCACACCCTGAGGCTGGGATGAATGGGATGATGTTCTTGGCAGGGCTGTACCCTGAGAAGGGAGCTGAGCACCTGAAGCAATCACTTTAGGGTGGGTCCAGCTTAGCGGCCGGTTGCAAGATCCTGGCCTGGGGGAAAGGTGTGGGCTGCTGGGCTTGGCAGGAAGAGGGGGTTTCATGTTTCTGAGCGTTTTCTGAGTCCCCATGGATCTTCCCTGGGCCTGGAGCTAAAAGGAGGGAGGCTGTGGGAACAGGAGCTCCTGGGACCCGTGGCTTCCCAGAGGCCCAAGTTGCTCCCACTGCCTGCCGAACCTGGAGCCCCGAGAGCAGGTGAGGTCTGAGGATGTTGGGGAGAGCCAGGATGGAGGGAAGGGTCCGGAAAAGGGCTCTGCATTTGCGGGGGCGGGGAGGGGGGTGGCGGGGACTTGGGGCTTCCAGGTCTGGTTATGGCGGCTTCTGTGATGAGGGAGAGTGGCCTGGTGGTGGCAAGGAACTGAGATAGGACTGAGCCAAAGATGTGAGGGTGTGTGTCTGTGGGTCTATGTGTCTGTCCATTTGTTTGCATGCCTCTAGGGTTGCCTGCATGTGTCTATGTCAGTGTGTGTCTACCTGTGTGTATGTATGTGAGCATGTGTCTTGATTTGTCCACGTGTGACTGTATGTATTTGTGTGTTGGAGGGGTAGTGCACAGAGAAGCCCTTGCAGGTGGTGGGGCTGGACTCCTGGCCATGGCTCTTTCTAGAAGGAGCCTTGTAGGGCTTTCAGAGTGCCCTTGTGAAGGGTCCTGTACACTCCTTGGCTGCACCCGGCACCAGCTTGCTCACCTTGGCCCTCAGCGCGGACAGAAATTCGCTGTTGATGTGGGTTGTGAAAGACTGTTTGTGTGCAGGAAGCCTGGTGATGAATGGAAATGTATGCGCGTGCCTGTGGGGTCAGTGGGACGGCCCTGGCCCTGGAGCCCTGCCCCATTCTCCAAGCAATTACCCAGTGCTCGCTGCCCCGGAAGTCCCACCTGCTGACTACCAAGTGATGTTAGATTAGAAAGAATTCCACTCACCTGCCGGGTCCGACTGATCCCACCCCTGCCAGCTCCTCCTGCCAGGCTGGCTCTGGGAAGTGGGTGAAAGGAGATGCCAAGACCAACGCGTGGGCCCTAGCCACCTCCCAGGGGGTGATGCTCCTCTGACACCTGGTGTGGAGGCAAGAGGACGGGTTCCAGCCGCCCAGGAAAGGTGGCAGGGGAGCCGGGGAGGCTGGCAGCTTCATTCTGTCCCCTCCCTCCCCAGGCAGCCCAGGCGCTGGTAGCAGTGGCAGCGAGGCCGTGGCAGCGTTCCCAGCAGAGGATGCCCCAGGCCCTGGAGCGCGCCGAGGGCTGCTGGGCCTGGGTGGTCCTGCTGGCCGCCGTGGTGGCCCAGGGCCTCACCCTGGGCTTCCCCACGTGCATCGGCATCTTCTTCACTGAGCTACAGCGGGAGTTCCAGGCCAACAACAGCGAGACCTCCTGGTTCCCCTCCATCCTGACGGCCATGCTCCACGCGGGGGGTAAGCAGCCTGAGGAGGGACCAGGGAGGGGCACAAAGAGCCACAGCCTCCCTGGCCTCTGCGTCCCTCTCTTGGAGGCCGCAAGCTGTGCCTTTCGGGTGAATTCCTAAGATTTCACTGGATTTCAGCAGGGCCCGCTCCCTTCCTGGGTTGGAATCCCACTCCCGGTGCTGGAATCCCGCTGGGCGGGGCGGGGCGGGGCTGGGCTGGGCTGGGAAAAGGCTGGGGAGGCACCTAAGATGCTAAGCCAGTCCTCTCAATGGCCACTGCAGGCTGGATCCAGACTAGAGGAGGTGCGGCCTGAGGTCCAGCTGGGAGATCACCCTGAACCTTAGCTCCTTCCCCTGCAACATGGGGTGACACCCGGCGTCCTGCCCACCTCGCACATGGGATCGTAGGGAGATCACGTGAGGGAGGGAAATGTCAGGCGCTGTGAAGGCTTGTATCCTGGAGATCTTCATCTGGGCTTCAGACAGGAAGGGGGCTCTTTGAAGACACCAGGAGCAGGATGGGGGCATTGCCAGAGCCCCATGTCTCACCAGGCAGCAGAGGGGGAGTTGCAAGGGCTGGGAGATGGAGGAGGCAGCCCCCTCATTTCCTGGTGGGCTCCTCCAGGTCTGTGACCACCTCACCCTGACCCCAGCCATCGGGGAAGGTCAGGAACTGTCCAGGCAGTCTGCACAGCAGCCTCGGGCTCAGCGGCCTGCCCCAGCTGCTGGTTGCTGTGGCCTCCAGGGAGACTCCGCAGGGGCCGCTAGGGAGGCCTGGTCACCTGGAGCGGGGTCTGGTGGGGCTGCAGGGCTCGCCCTGTGTGAGGGTGTGGGTGCTTGCCTAGCAGACCCCACCTCCCTGCCTACCTCCTGCCACTCCCTCCACCTGGGACCAGTAGCCTGCTTGTTCTTCCACTTCCTTCCCTCCAATCGGGAGGGAGGTCAGACTGCGAGGTGCCACCTTTGCTGGAATGACCCTGAACCTGTCACCCCAGGGCATGGGCTCAGGGCAAGGGGAAAAGGCCAGGCTGAGCCCGCATGACCTTTTCACTTGGGGTTGGTGCAGAAGTGGGCATCGCAGAGGGCTCCTTGCGTGCAGCCAGATGGGTCTGGGCCAGAGGCTGGGAGCCGGGCATCTAGTGGGAACCCCACTCCCCAGCCAGCTTTTGACTCACTGCCCCCTAGCAGGCTCTCCAGCATCTCAGTCAGCTTGGGACTTCTGTCTGTCTCGTCTGTCTGTCTCTCTCACACACACACCTTTAGCCCATGCTCAGAGATTGATAGACATTTGAAACTGGAAAGTATTGTTGATCCTAAGCGGGCCACCCCCCCCCCCCCCCACACACACACACATTTCAGAGATGAGGAAAGCAAGCAAGAGCAAAGTACAAGGCCTGCCCAAGGTTGCAGAGTGAGTTCTGGCTCCTGCCAGAGCCGCCCTGCCTCGCAGCGCCCCACCCCAGCACCCTCAGCTATCTCAGCTAAGCTGGCTCCCGGCCCAGGCCCACCCCCGACTCCATGACTCAGGGCTTTCCCCAATATCACCTTTCCCGAGACGGGTCAAAGTGTGGTGGTGGGGAACCTGTGTGGGCCCGTGGTCATACCCACGGCAAAGCCTCGCCTCTCCCTCTACTGCTGCCGCTGCTTGATTATCTCTGAGGCTGGGCTGCTCACTTCCCCTTTCACTCCCAAGCTCATACCGGCTACACGCACACATCCCCTCTTCACCCCAGACACACACCCACAAACCTCGTGCGCACACACACACTTTCCCCGAAACTCAGTTCCATGTACTTGGGGGCAGGGCGCAGGGTGAATGGGGCCTTGCAAGGTGCTGAGGAGCAGCTGGCCAGGACTGGCTTGTTTCTCTCCTCTGGGTCTGGGCCCGGAGAAAGCCGCTCAGGATGGGGGTGGGGTGGAGGAAAACAGGCCCCTCTCCAACAGCAGCCACACATTGGGTGCCGGGCTCTGGTGGTGGCTGGAGGTGATGGGGGAGGGGAGAAGGTACCCCACCCAGTTTTCTCCAGAGGCCAGTGCAAAGGGGTGGAGAGTGGCCCAGGGCCCCAGCTGCTCACCCTAGACAGGTGGGAGGCTGGAGGGAGGGCTGTGGCCAGTCTTCTTGAGGATGGGGTAGGAGCAGGGACAGGGGTGCTCACTACGATTTAGATACCTGGGGTCCCCCCCACCCCCCTGAGACAGACCCCCCAGTGAAGAGCGCACCTCGGCCATGAGCCAATCCTGTTTCTTGTCTGGGTCAAACTGGACATTGGCAGCACCTCACCTCACACCTGGTCACCCTTCCCCCAGCCTGATCCCTCCTTCTGTAGGAGAGGAAACTGAGGCAGAGAGAGAGAGAGCCTTGCTGGGGTCCCATGGCCAGTCTGGCAGGGTGGGCATCAGGGTCCAGGACTGCGGGCTCCAGGGCTTATGCCCTTTAAGCCTCCTGGTTAGTTCCTGCTGGAACCCCTTCCCGGCCTCCCCCTCCCCCTGCCCCTCCCTCTGGGACTCCTCAACTGCTGCCTGGCTTCTCATCCCTGCCCCACCTGCCTCCACCCACAGGACCCCTGTGCAGCATCCTGGTGGGACGCTTCGGCTGCCGAGTCACCGTGATGCTGGGGGGCGTGCTGGCCAGCCTGGGCATGGTGGCCAGCTCCTTCTGCCGCACCCTCGGCCAGCTCTACCTCGCAGCAGGCTTCTTCACAGGTGATTGTCATTCCGTTTGGAGAACTACTGGGCGCCTATTAAACAGTGTCACGTGCAAGTGAACAGGGCAGGCAAAGCCCATCGCTGGGGCTGCTCACAGGAGGGAGCCCACAGAGGGGAGAGGCCAGGGACAGATGAACGAGGAGCATATCTGATCGCGACAAGACAAGTGCGTGAGAAGACAGGACAGCCGATGTGACAGCGTCCTGGCTGAGGGTGGTGGCGAGCAGAGATTAAACAAGGAAACATGTAGAATGTCAAGAACGTCCAGGGTCGAAGGGAGGCTGCTGTTTGCAACAAGCAAGCGGAGGAGGCCTTGAGAGGAAAGGGGTGGCTGGGCAGAGAGCTGCAGAAGGGAGTCTGCCCCTAGGTTCTGGGGGGAAGGGCATTCCAGGAAGAGGGAACAGCAAGTGCAAAGGCCCTGGGGTGTCCAGGGGCAGTGCAGTGGCCAGTTAAGTAGAGGGGCATGAATAGGGGTGGAGAGAAAGAATGAAGGACGTTCGAGAGGAAGAGCGAGGGGTTCAGTGTGCCAAGCGGCTGCCGGGTCAGCTTGAGTGGGGCCCCGGCTCTTTGGATTTGGCAATGGAGAGGTTGGTGACCTCGGCGAGAGCTATTCTGGAGCAGAGTTGGGGGTGAAAGTCTGATGGGAACAGTTTCAACAGAGCACAGGAGGAGGGCAATGGGAGATGGCTGAGCTGATCGAACCTTGCACGAAATTTCGGTGGAAGGGGAGCAGAGAAATGGGCGGGGACCCAGAGGAGCCTGTGGGGTCAAGGGAGGGTTGTGTTTTGTTTTTAATGAGAGAAATAACAATGAAGGAGAATGATCTAGAAAAGAGAAAAACGGGTGATGCAAGAGAGAGGGACATTGCTGGAGGGCTATGCCTCTGAGTGGGCGAGATGCAGGGCAGAAGGAAAGGGCTGGCCTTGACTGGGAGCACAGATGGTCCACTGTCTCTGGCGGGAAGGCGAGGCGGCTGTCAGCTGGGAGCGAGGAGGGGTGAGGTGTGGAGTATGAAGAGGAAGGAAGCCCGGGCGTCATCCAGGAGGAGGGAGAGTAGATGGATGACAGATCTGGCCACCCAGGGCCCGCCCGAGGCCAGTGGTCCTGGGTGGCTGTGAGCTTTCTCTCCAGAACGTCCAGCTGTGCAGGGGCAGACACAGAGTGGGTGAGGAGGCGGCTTCTGAGCTGAGTCAGGAAAGGGAAGTCGGGGGAAGAGTGTCCCAGGCAGAGGGAACCGCAACAGCCATGTCCTGAGGTAGGGAGCAGCGGGGTGTCCGGAGGAAGAGAAAAAAGCTGATGTGGCTGCCGCCTGGTGAGTGACGGGGAGCGTGGCCTGAGATGGCACCCAAGAGCTGGCGGGAGGCCAGATGGTACAGAGCCTTCCGGGGCATAGTAAATACTTTGAAGTCTCTGGAAGGTGTTAAGCAGGGGAGAGACTTACTTTGATTTTAAGTTGTTGTTGTTTTTAAAAAAATAATATATATATATATATATATATATATATATATATATATATATTTTTAGAGCGAGAGAGCGGAAGAGAGAGGGAAAGACAGAGAGAAACATCGACGTGAGAAAAGCACATTGATTGGTTGCCTCTTGCATATGCTTTGACCAGGGCCTGGCTAGGGCAAAAATATATATTTTTATTGATTTCAGAGAGGAAGGGAGAGAGAGAGAGACACATCAATGATGAGAATCATCGATTGGCTGCCCCCTGCACCCTCCACACTGGGGACCAAGCCCGGAGCCCAGTCGTGTGCCCTGATGGGGAACTGAGCCATGTCCTCCTGGTTCATAGGTCAACGCTCACTGAGCCACGGCAACCCGGCTGATGTTACGGTTTTAAGGATCACCTGGGTACTGTGCCAAGGGGACAGGTGTGCCCCTGGCGGCCTTGGGAGGGCAGATCTGAGGGGCGGATGTTTCCAGGGAGGAGAGTAGGCAGGCTGACTCCATCTTAAATCCCTGGGGCCCTGGAGGTGGGCTTGGGCTGGAAGGGAAGGAGAGCAGACGTGGACATGACCCTGTGACTCCACTGTGGGTGGCCCCAGGACGCCCTCGAGCTGGTCTCCCCTCTTCCACCACAGGCCTGGGCTTGTGTTTCAGTTTCCAGTCGACCATCACCGTATTGGGCTTCTATTTCACCCGCCGGCGGGCGCTGGCCAACGCTGTGGCTTCGGTGGGCGTCTCCCTGGGCATCACACTCTGGCCGCTGCTGGCCCGCCACCTCCTGGAGGAACTGGGCTGGAGGGGCACCTTCCTGGTCTTCGGCGGGGTTTTCCTCCACTGCTGCGTCTGCGGCGCCATCCTGAGGCCCGTGGCCCCCAGCGTGGCCCCTGCACCCAGAAAAGGCCGTGCTGTGCCCTCCAAGACACCGGCGCCCGGCTGCCTGGCAGCATGTGGCCGGGCCGTCCTGCGCCACCTGGCCTTCGACATCCTGTGGCACAACGCTGGCTACCGCGTGTTCACGCTGGGCGTCACGTGGATGATCCTCGGTTTCCCGCTGCCGCAAGTCTTCCTGGTGCCATTCGCCATGCGGCACGGGGTCGACGAGCACAAGGCCGCCCTGCTCATCTCCATCATCGGCTTTAGCAACATCTTCCTGCGGCCCATGGCCGGGCTGGTGGCCGGCCGCCAGAACTTCGCCAGATATCGCAAGTACCTCTTCAGCCTCGCAGTTCTGCTCAACGGGCTCACCAACCTGGTGTGCACGGTGTCGGCCAACTTCCGAGTGCTGGTGGGCTACTGCCTGGTGTACAGCGTGTCCATGAGCGTGGTTGGCGCCCTCTTCTTCCAGGTCCTCATGGACGTGGTCCCCATGGATCGGTTCTCCAGGGCCCTGGGCCTCTGCACCATCCTGGAGAGCATCTCCATCCTCATCTCCCCGCCAATGGCTGGTGAGGCCCAAGAGGGAGGGCGTAGCCTGGGAGGGCAGGGTTAGGGGGTGAGGCGGAGGGAACAGTCTGGACAGATTTGGGCCCCGTCCAGCATCCCAGGGGGAGGGACTTGGAATCTGTGATTTTCCCCCAAGCACCTCAGGGGACTGGCTGCAGCCTATTCCCCAGCTGGCACTCAGTCTGAAGAGTTAAAAATGGGGGTTTGGGTACCACACTTAGCTGAGGCTGTCATCTTCCTCTCTGTACCTGTTTTCTTTTTTTAAAAAAAATATACTCTACTGATTTTTTACAGAGAGGAAGGGAGAGGGACAGAGTGTTAGAAACATTGATGAGAGAGAAACATCGATCAGCTGCCTCCTGCACACCCCCCCACTGGGGATGTGCCCGCAACCAAAGTACATGCCCCTGACCGGAATCGAACCCGGGACCCTTGAGTCCGCAGGCTGATGCTCTATCCACTCAGCCAAACCGGTCAGGGCTGTACCTGTTTTCTTATCAACAAAGTGAGGATGAGAATAGAATCTACCTGGTAGGCTTGTTGTGAGGGTCACAAGTTATACTGTTAAGCTCTAAGTAGAGAAGATGGCAGAGTAAGTACTATGCACGGATTGGCTGTTATTGACACTTCCTGCCCGTGGGACCAACCCCGCATCTCATTGACCTTCTCTGAGCCACAGTGTTATCTGCAAAATGCAGAAAAGAACACCTGCCGTCACCCAGGACTGGCCTGCCGGGGTCCAACCCCAGCAGGTCCAGGGGTCCCCAAAGGTGTGGACGGAGTCGGCGAAGAAGGAAGGACACGGAGACTGCGTTCAGTTGATCAGCAGCCTAGCCAGGATCTCTAGCCAGGATCTCCAGCCAAGTTCTGGTCTGGATCTCCAGCGAAGTTCTGCTTAGGATCTCCAGCTAGGTTCTGTGTCCATGTTCTCTTGCTAGGTTCTCCAGGTTCTCCAGCCAGGTTCTGTAGCCATGTTCCCTTGCTAGGTTCTCCAGCCAGATTCTGTCCAGGTTCTCCAGCCAGGTTCAGTTACCAGGTTCTAGTCAGGTTCTTTTGCCCATTTCTGTAGTCAGGTTCAGTCCAGGATCTTTTGCCATGTTCTCTCGCTAGGTTCTGTCTCTAGGTTCTGAGGCCAGTTTCTGTCCAGGATCTTTTGCCATGTTCTCTCCAGCGAAGTTCTTCTGTCTCTAGAGAACGTTCTGTGTAGGTTCTGTGCCTAGGTTCTGTCTCTCTTCATTCTGTATTCTTAGTTCTGTGTCTTGCTGTCTTATTACATCTGTATTTATACCAGTTGATTCAATCCTATCAATCTCTATTACAAAGGTTAGGGCGTTTCTTATCTCCATTCCAGGGAGTAAAGATTATGTAGCTTAAGCATGATTGTTCATAGTTAAAGTGATTAATTACCCACCTGGCACTAGTTAAGAGGTTTTATTCCCTCCCTAACTTCAGGGGAAAATCCCTACCTGGGGAAACAACCTTTCTCAGAGACCTTGGTTAAAACACATAGTGCCAAGAAGGTGAGCAAACATATTAAGAACAGTATGCCATATATGCCAGGTCCTTTGAAACAGCAAGGATGGACCGGCTCCCGGCACACGGCCAGAGGCAGAGACTTCCCTCTGGGGGGGAGAGACGGCAATCAAAGTGAGGAGACATATTTGGGGGCCCAGTGGCGGTTTGTGCCAGGAGGGAAACGTGCAGGTATAGAAACAGAGCCCCACACGAGAGGTGTGACATGCAGAGCAAAAGGGAAGGTTTGTGAAGCCTTTGGTGCCGGGGGACAGTCACACAGACAACACGTGCCTGCCGTCATTACAGTTAGATGACGGGGACTCTTCCCCCAAGTGTGGAGTGGGAAGGCCCAGTTTCCACGGGATCCCCCGCCCCCTGCCCACCGCTACGCCAGCAAGTGCAGAGAGCTCGCTGGGAGAGGCCTGGGGGGCCCAGGGCGGGGCCCAGCCGATCGATATCCCGACTCCACTGGCCCTTGTCCTCATAGCTCCCTGCCCCCGGGTGAGCGAGACATGCCCTGAAGTGCTCTTTGGCCCGAGGACTCTTCCTGCCTGGGCCAGAGGAGGTTTAGTGTTCCCTCTCCCCCTCACCTTTACCAACTGTTTACTGAGTGCCTAGGCCAGTGATGGCGAACCTTTTGAGCTCGGCGTGTCAGCATTTTGAAAAACCCTAACTTAACTCTGGTGCTGTGTTACATGTAGAAATTTTTTGATCTTTGCAACCATAGTAAAACAAAGACTTATATTTTTGATATTTATTTTATATATTTAAATGCCATTTAACAAAGGAAAATCAAACAAATGAGTTCACGTGTCACCTCTGACACGCGTGTCATAGGTTCGCCATCACTGGCCTAGTAGGTGCCAACCCCGGTTCCTAGTCCTGGGGTTCCGCAGAGACAAAACTAAAGGCCCTGCTCTTGCGGAGCGCACAGGGCAGTGGGGGGCTGGCAGCCCGGGCCGTGACCTAACTTGCTCTCTGTCCTTCAGGGTTTGTCCTGGACAACACTGACAGCAACTTCAGCTACGTCTTCTACATGTCAAGCTTCTTCCTCATCTCCGCCGCCCTCTTCATGGGTGGCGGCTTCTGTGCGCTTCAGAAGAAGGAGAGGCAGGGCAGGCCGGCCGAGGCGGAAGCAGCCGACCCGGAGCCGGCCCCGCTGCGGGCCCTCAGCAGGGAGGACACAGGCAGTTCGGAGAAGCGGCCGTGCACCGAAGAAATCATGTATGTGACCAGCGTCTGAGCCCCGAGGTCAGTGAGCGAACACCGCCTCCGCCCAGGAACGCGATGTCCTGCTGTTTCACTGGGTGAAGCCTGAACCAAAGGGCTGGCCGGCCCGCCCCGCACGTCGGGACTCAGCCAGGGGCTGGGGCCTTGGAGGCTGGCCTCCGAAGACTCAGGGTTCCTTCCAACGAGCAGAATCCAGGAGCTGGTCCTCCTGACTTTTTTCCTTGGGCACCAGGGTACTTGGGGCCCAAGAAGGTGGGTCTGAGCTCTGCTTGGGTCTCTCATGGCCGACGGGGCTCAGCTGGCTGCCCACTGCCGCTGCTACAACTCAACACACCGGGCCTTCAGGTCCAGCCTGGATGCTTCATAGGTGACCTCTCTGTCCTTCTCCAGCCTCCAGCTCCAGACAGTTCCAAAAAGTTCACCCTAAGTTCCCCTAAGCCCTTCTGCCCCCCTTCCTCCCTGCGGCCCAGCCCTTGCCCTCGGGGCTGCCCCCAGCACCGGTTGCTGGGCCTCCCACTGATTGGGACTTGGGAAGAAGGGAGAGAATTAGTGGTGGCCTGCAGCCGTGGATGGCCAAGCTGCGGATGAGCTTGGATGCAGGGTTCGGACAGATTAAATGCTGGTGGAGCACCTGTCCTGGCGTCTGTGCAGAGAATCGGAGGGGAGCACCTGACTTGGGTCCTTGAATCAGTGAAGTCTGAGGAGCCCCTTACACCAGCGGTTCTCAACCTGTGGGTCGCCACCCCTTTGGGGGTCGAACGACCCTTTCACAGGGTCGCCTAAGACCATCGGAAAACACATATATAATTACATGTTGTTTTTGTGATTAATCACTGTTTTCATTATGTTCAATTTGTAACAATGAAATTGGGGGTCACCACAACATGAGGAGCTGTGTTAAAGGGTGGCGGCACTAGGAAGGTTGAGAACCACTGCCCTACACAGTCAGCAGAGCCCGCTCCAGGGTCTCATTCCTTTGCCCCACCCAGTATTGTGACCGGGAAGATTAGTGGGGGGGGGGGGTGTTGGGGGGGGAAGCCAGACAGTTGACTGAGCAGGGAGGGTCGGATTGCTAGGCAGGGCCCAAGGGCCTCTGTGGAAATAGAGCTGCCCTCGCAACAGAAGCCCTTCTGCTCCCCTCTCCCGCCCTCCTCGTCTCCCTGCTGTGTCCAAGGCGTCAACCCTGGGTGAGTAGCTGGCTGGGCCAGCTGCCAGTCCCCCCTGCTCCCCATGGGCCTGTGTCTGTGGCCTGGAGGTCAGAGCTCTCCCCCACACCCTTTGCTGGTGCCCTTCCTTGAGGTCATGACCGTGGGGGGCGGGCTGTCATCAGCACGGTCTTGTCCCAGCAGGGTCCCGACCGAGGGAGCCAGGGAACCGAGAAAGTTTGTTTGAATCACACACAGAAGTGTTTCCTGCAGCAGGCTATAAACCCCGGGAACTAATGAAGCAGGAAAACAGGCCTGGAGAAGTCCTCCTCCCCCTTCAGTCCTCCCAGCTTAGCTGGGGCTGCTCACGCCCAGGGCCTTGTTTGTTGATTCAGGCTCAACCAGGCTCCAATGAGAAAACCTTATCAGGAGGATTGATTTTATTTTCATGATCCGCCTCTAGCCTTCCTCCTCCACTTGTCCAGCTGGCCTGAGTAAGCATCCTTGGGGTTGTCCTGTCCTCTCCAGGACCCTGCCACGAGTGCCCCCTTATGGCCAAAGAAAGTAGTGCAGAGGCGACAAAAAGGCTAGGATAGTAGAGACCCGAGTTCGTGTTTGACTCTGCCTGAATTTACTGTGTGCCTTTGGGCAAATTGCTCAGCATCTCTGGGCTTTTAAAAAGGAGGAGGCTGGCCTGGATAAGTTAAAGTCTCTTCCAGTTTGAAAAGTCGGATCCTGAAGAGCCCCACTACCGGCCTGCTCCCCACCCCGCCACCACCCACAGTGCTTGGCCACCACCCACAGTTTGTGAACGGAAGGGGGAAAGCCTGGGCACATTTCACCAAGTCCTATCTCCGCCATCTTCATGGAGTGGAAAAGGAGGGAGTCGGGTTGGTGAGTAGGTAAATGCTTTTGGTGCCAGTAGCTCCCAGGCTATGAAACGTGCCTCCCCTAATAGGCCCACTTCCTTAAAAGATTTATTTTAAGGAAAAAAAGATTATCGGTGAACATTCAGCACAAAGAACTCTGATTTCATCTGCCCCGGGCAACAGTAACCATAATCACCAGGCAAATATTTATTAAGCATCTACTGTGTGCCTGGGACTGGACAGATAACCAGTAAGAACTGGTGAATGCCCTCAACACAAAACCAAGGGCTGAGAATATTTCCCCCAGGAGGGAGGGCCCTGAGGTCTTGGGAGGAAACAAAGGAGGGAGGATGGGTGGCCCATCTGATTCCAGAACCACACTTAGCTGGTCTGGGGCAGTTCCCGACTAGCAGGGGGTGGGGCTCGTTTCCATGGTGTCCACAAGCCTTTGCTGCTCTGTCTAGCCAGAGGCAGAGAACCCCCCTGGCCACCTTTGGCTGAGTGAACATCCCCAGGTCGCATCCCGTCCCCAAAGAAGCAGCCTCGATATCCAAGCACCCAGACTATGGCCATAACTAGGCAGGCCCAGGGCAGGGGGTGGGGGGTAGGGGGAGGTGCATCAGGCAAAGGCTGACCACGGGGACCTGAGCCCGTGTATGCAGGGCCTGCTCCCAAGGGGGCTGTAGCAGGTGGAGTATGGCCCAGGGCCAAAGGCACATGGTCCTTGCCCTCAAGAAGCTCACAGCCCAGGCCTCCTTTACCTTCACATTCAAGCACCGTGGGAGTGTGGTAGGACCACCTCCTAACCTGGTGCTTTATAAACCCAGTGCCTATGAGGTCCCGGTCACACACTACCTTCCTGAGAAGCCCCAAGAAATAATTGGGCCAAAGGGCTTTACCACCATGGCAGCTCCCCAACCCAGAAAGCGGCCAACACTGTACATTTGGGTGGACAGAGGTTCCTACCACCGGTTGGCGCTGCCCCAGCGCTCCCCGTCCACCTGGCGGGCAAACAGCCTTACCTGGTTCCGGATATTTCAGACCAGAGGTGGAGGGCTCGGGGCTGGGGAGCATGGGATGCCAGGCTCCCGCGGCTTCTTGGAAAAGGGCCCGTGGGAGGGGGGGGCTCAGGGAGCTGGCGCTCACGCTCCAGTGGGGCATTCTTTGGTTGAGGAGGCTGGCCTGTGCCCCCTCATCAGATGCAAGGGGATCTGGCGGTGGTTCTGCCTCGACAGCCGGCCACCTCTGGGCTCCTAAGGGCCCTAGAGATGTTGTTCCAGCGGTTCTCAACCTGTGGGTCGCCACCCCTTTGGGGGTCGAACGACCCTTTCACAGGGGTCGCCTAAGATCATCGGAAAACACATATTGAATATATAATTGCATATTGTTTTTGTGATGAATCACTATGCTTTAATTATATTCAATTTGTAACAATGAAAATACATCCTGCATATCAGATATTTACATGACGATTCATAACAGTAGCAAAATTAGTTATGAAGTAGCAACGAAAATAATTTTATGGCTGGGGGTCACCACAACATGAGGAACTGCATTAAAGGGTCGCGGCATTAGGAAGGTTGAGAACCACTGTGTTGTCCCCTTAAGCATCCACAGCCCTTGGCCTTGGGCCCAGGCGGTGAGGCGTGACGTTTACTGCGCACGCGCGCCGAGCTCCACGACGGCCCCGCCCCTGGTCCGCCTGGACCAACCCCGCCCCGCCCTCTGGGGCGGAGCTAAGCACGGCTTCCGCCGGAAGTCCGGGCTCCAGCGGGAAACCGTACCCAGCCGGTGATGCAGCTCCCTCCTCCAGTGACCGGCCGCTTCCGTGTCTTCCGCGCCCCAGTTTAGATTTTCACGCCCAACTCTTATCCAGTCGTGATCACACCACATCCCAGTGCCAGGTGCAAATCACTGCACAACCCGAAGCTAGGAGAGGAGCCTGTGTCCCGCCCGGGGCGGCCCAGGGAGGTCCCCGCCCGCCTTTCCGACCTCATCGGCCGCACTCTCCTACCTGTCCCCCGTGCACCCTCCGCCACCCCGGCCATGGCGCAGAAGCCGAAGGTAGACCCCCACGTCGGACGGCTGGGATACCTGCAGGCGCTGGTCACTGAATTCCAGGAGACGGAGAGCCAAGGTGAGAGCGACAGGATGTGGGTCTGGGGACAGGGCGGGGGTCCGCCCGCGACCCTCGCCCCGGACCTGGCTCCAGTGCCGCTTTTCCGCCGCAGACGCCAAGGAGCAAGTCCTGGCCAACCTCGCCAACTTCGCCTATGACCCCAGCAACTACCAGTATCTGCGACAGCTGCAGGTCCTGGATCTATTCCTGGATTCGCTGTCGGAGGAGAACGAGACCCTGGTGGAGTTTGCTATTGGTAAGGATGGGGCGGTCACGGATGCCTGATGGTGAGATAAGCGAGTCCGAAGTGAGTCGTTGGGGAGAGACCTCGGGCAGTCCCTCACCGCAGGGGCAGCCTTCGGGGTGCGCACACGGTCCGGGTCACAGCTAGCGGGACCCTCCGCATGCTGCCTTCCCACCTGCTTAGAGATGAGATCATAAATGAAGGGATGGATTGAAGCCACTCGGAGAGAAAAATATTTAGAGTGCTCTTTTAAACATCTTTATTTTAATGTTTTCCTATCAAGGAAAGTAGGGGTAACTTAGGATGACTTATGGTCTAAGACAGTGGTTCTCAACCTTCCTAACGCCGCGACCCCTTAATACAGTTCCTCATGTTATGGTGACCCCCAACCATAAAATTATTTTCGTTGCTACTTCATAACTGTAATGTTGCTACTGTTATGAATCGTCATGTGAACATCTGATATGCAGGATGTATTTTCATTGTTACAAATTGAACCTAATTAAAGCATAGTGATTCATCCCAAAACCAATATGTAATTACATATGTGTTTTCCGATGGTCTTAGGCGACCCCTGTGAAAGGGTTGTTCGACCCCCAAAGGGGTGGCGACCCACAGGTTGAGAACCGCTGGTCTAAGATCTATTGAATTATTCACTGGACAGGTACTTATGGGGCATGAACTGTGTGAGCAAGGTCCTGTCCTAAATGCTGAAGAGATGGCGAACAAGTCGGGGGAAAGGCCTTTGCCCGCAGGGAGAGGGGGAGGCAGATGGTGGGCAAACCAACCAAAAGGCTGAGGCTCTGAAGGACATTCACAGGATGATAAGACAGGGCAATAGGAGATGGGGCCGCTGCACTTCGGCCATCATGGGCAGGCGGACGTGATGGGTGGGAGACCCTGAAGCAGGAGGATCCAGAGGAAGGCTGATGTGTCAGGACTAGTGAGGTTACAGAGGTGGCAGCACCAGAGATGGCTGGGAGGGGCTTAGATGTAGGCTTCGGGAAAGAGTTTGGAATTTATTCTGAAGGCAAACAAATTATTTTTTCAGCTGCATCTCTAAAAAAAATAACATTTTTCGCCCTCGCCGGTTTGGCTCAGTAGATAGAGCGTCAGTCAGCCTGCAGACTGAAGGGTCCTGGGTTTGATTACAGTCAAGGGAACATCCCCTTTAATTTCCTGTAACCTAGAAATTAGATTGAAAGCCTTGATAGAATCAAGTAACACTTCCCCCGCCCCTGCCAAATATATCATAGGTGAGTGTGATTGAAAATTTTGAAAGACCACCCATGTCTGCCCCTGATGTTTGTGGTATTGTGGCTAGAGTTCAAATGGGAGTCACCCCTGACCTTCTCACCACGACAGGTCTTCACACACGAGTGTGGACATCCCAATTCTGTTCACACACACCTGCCTGTGGCCTCTCCTTGGACTTAGTGTGCACACCAACCGTGGGGTTCACCCTCGGAGTCAGGAATCCAGGAAAGGCCCATGCGCTGTGGGAGGAGGTTCAGGGCCTGGTGTGGGGAAGGGAGGACTTTGGGTGGGTTCTCTGGATTTTTTAGCCTGTGGAGCGGGCCAGAGTGAGTCCCGCTAGAGCTGAGTCGGGGGCAGGAGCCCCAGTGGGCTGGGCCTAAGAGAGTATGTCTCGGCCCCTCGGGAAGATTATTACTCCAAAGAAATATCCTAAAGGATTGCTACTTGAAGGTTTTCGCCAGTGGCAGTCCTCCATCCCCTTCCTTTTTGTAACTCGGCTCCACAGCTTCCAGCCTCTGAATGGTGGCCGTGGCCCCTGCAGAAGCACGTGGCTAACCTCCGCCTGGGAGTGATAGAACTCCTCCCACTCAAGCTTCTGGCTCCGGAGAAGAGTTGCCTAAAAAGAGCAGTCACCCAGGGAAAGCTTTGACAGCATCAGGCACCAAGCAGGAGCACTCTGTCTGAGGTCCTGGCCCACGGAGCCGGGAGCTACGGGGGATGCAGGCCTGCCCTGAGTTCTTGCTCTCCTGGCCAGCTTCCCTGTTTTCTTTTCCCAGCCACCTTTCTTTTTTCCTTCCTCCTTCCCTCTCTCCCTCCCTCCCTCTCTCTCCCCCTCTCTCTCTTTCTCTCTCTTTCTTTCCTCCCTCCTTCCCATCAGAGCAAGCTTCTCAATCCCAAGAGCCTTGGCTTTCTCGCATTGAATCTCTTCCCCGGATCCCCTGCAGAGTAAATCTCTCTTTTCCTTGTTATGCGTGACTTAAAGGAGAGCCAGTGCTACTTAGAAGCGGGTCTTGTTACCGCTGTCGTTCTCTCTTCTCTTAATGTGCCTGGTGCTCGATGGGAAACACTGTCAGGCGCTTTCTCTGCTGTCGAAAGGCTCTGTGCTGCGCTTTGTCGTTTTGAATCTTTTCTCTCCGGTGGCAGGTCTGACATTGTGATCTCCATGAGGGCAGAGCCCAGCCTTGCTTATCTCCGCTGTTGTCTTGAGTGCTCTGGCCTTGTGGTCTGGAGAAGGTGAGAGAAGGGCCCAGTAGGTGCAGAGACTGGCCACCAATCGCAAGGCGCGTAGTACTGAGCCCTCTGTACCGGTGATGAAACAGCACCTCAGTGAGGTGAGTCCCATTGCCTGAGGCTCACACTGAGCACTAACTGGAGCCAAATTCTGTGCCCAGGGGACCCGGCTGCCGGAGCCAATGCCGGAGTCCATTGTGTCTTCTCCCCTGGTTCCCATGGCACCTGGCCACCTCCAGCATATCCCTGGGATGGTTCTGGTGGCAAGTCGTCCCTGGCCCAGGTTCTAAGTGGAACTATCACCAGGAGATGGTACTGCTCAAGGTAGGACAGGGCGTGGGAAGTGAGTGAATTATGGGGAACCAGATATAAAGCCAGGATCTCAGCAAATACTTGAATGAGTATTCCGAGCTTGTGCCCCACATAAAAACTCTGGCAGCCTTTGGCATTAATTTGGAAATGTTTGCCCAAAGCACCATGGGTTGACTCTCAGGCATCCTATATGCTGCGTGTGCACACCTGCACCATCTTAGATGCCGTATGGAGACAAAGGGACCAGGAGAGAATCCTCTACTTCTGTGAAAATTGGTTGAAATCTAGGACATCACAGAATACTTGACAGTCTTGTTACTAAAACAGGGTTCCAATAGGTTGCCTCCAAGAATTCAGGTTAAATCTCTTTCCTGTGCTCTATTTCCTGTAATACACGTAGCTGCCACTAGATGGTGGTGGTGCTCAGTAAAAGGCAGGTATACATAAGTCCTCAGAGGCCTCTCTGGAAAACAGTATTTAGTAAAATTGAAGCTAGGCTACCCCATGACCCAGCAGTTACAGTCATTGGAGTAGGGCACATGCATGCATATCCAGACACATGTGCAAAAATGGCACTAGCAAACTTGTAACAGACAAACTAGAAACAGTAAACAGCAGAATGGATACCAACATTGTGGGATGTTGCTACTATTTAGCAAGGCAAATGAACAGTCAACAACTACATGCAATAATGTTATAAATTTTTTAAAAATTTAAATTATTTTTTGTTAATCCTTATTCGAGGATATTTTGTCATTGATTTTTAAAGAGAGTAGAAGGGAGGGGGAGAGACAAAGAGAGAAACATCCATGTAAGAGAGACCCATCAATTGGTTGCCTCCAGCACACACCCTGCTCATGGCCAGGGATTGAGCCTGCAACCCTGATACGTGCCCTTCACCAGAATCGAACCCAGAACCCTTCAGTCTGTGGGTTGATGCTCTATCCACTGAGCCAAACGGGCTAGAGCAATAATGTTATAAATGTAATGGTAAGCAAATGGTGCTAGACACAATAATACATACAGTGTGATTCCATTTCTATAAAGTCCCCAAAACAGGCTGAAATGTTTAGGGATGTGTGGAAAAGACAGGAATGGAGGGAGACTTCTTTAAAAACCCTATATTTTAAGTTAAAAAGACAAGAGGTCTGCTTAGTAAAAATTTTGTTATTAAACTATTACAAACCAGGAAAGTGTTTACCTCAGAGAGAGAATTGGTTCAGGAAGGGACACAGGCTCTGGATTGCTGATAGTGTTTTAGTTCTTGACCTGGGGGCTGGTTCCACAGGCATTTGCTTTATCATTGTCAAACTGACCTGTGTGTGTCAGCCCTTTGCTGTGTGTGTGGTTTGCAGGTATGGCCCTGTGCCAGCCTCTGGGGCTGTGAACAGGTGCCTTGTTGATCCACATCTGTGCGCCAGGGAGGGGCCTCAATCACATTACTTCATTCTCTCTGCCCATTTTATTGATGAAGAAACCAAGGCTTAGAGAAATGGAGTTGCTTGCTCTGGTCACCTAAATCCTCAGTGGCAGAACTGGTTCTAACTGGGTCTGCCCACCACGGAGCCCTTGCTCCGTCCTCATCCTCTGGGCTCCGCCCGTACATCCTTCTCCCACTGATCAGTCAGGCTCCTGCGGTCTTGCAGCTTCTGCTTCAGTTCCTCAGCCATCCACCCGGGGCAGATTCCCCTTACAGGATGGAGGTGGTGTTGAGGTTCTCACCCACTGCTCCCTTCCTCGCTGGCCCCAGGCTGGCCTCATGGGGACAAGGGCAGCCTCCACCATCTTTCCTGACTTACAGAGACCCAATTCCCCATCTCTTAGTTCTAGGCACAAGTAGTGTGTGAGTGTGTGAGAGAGAGCACATGTGCGTGCACGTATACGTGTGTGTTTGAGTGTTATTAATTTATGTGAATGCATAATTGATTGACATGGTACAAAATTTAAAAGGTATTGAAAGGTAACTCCCTCGCTAGCCTTCTCTGTAGCTCACCACGGTTACTAGTTTCTTAAATATTTTTTGGAATTTACAAACATGTATATATCTATATGAATATATTTTTGCATGTTCTGCACATGTGGTAGTATACTATATCTATATTCTGCTTGCCGTTTTGTTTTTGTTTTTAACTTAGCAGCATATCTTGACACACCTGCAGTGTCAGTCATTCTGTAAAGCGGCCTGGTGTTTATTTCCTGGCATGGAGGCACTG